CGCGGGGCGGGGGTTGAAAGGAGAGAAAAATTGAATGAAGAAGACCACTTCCTTAGTGTCTTTGTACGCGGTAACGACGGCGATGATATTTTCATGCACTTGTCTACTTTTTTACTCCTGCGTTTAAGTCTCCAATAATATATGCACGTTTAAAAAAAGCGATAGTTATTATGACGCATGTGTTTTCATGAAGATTTTATGTATCACGGAGTTCACGCGGTGATGTTACTGCAAATTTTTTATTTTTCTTTTCTTCTCCTTCTTCTCCTTTCCTTATTCTCCTTTTTTCGGACGGGAAATAAATAAAAACAGCACCGTGAAAACAGCGTAAGGTGGGCACTCACTTTACTGTCCGTTTATTGTTAAATGGTGAGTACGCTTGATCCCAAATTTGAACTCAGCCTTCATCGGACATAAAAACATAACTTTCAAAAACTTGGATAAGTTGATACGAATGTGACAAAAGGTTTACAACAAAACCGCCAGAGACCGTCTGACTACTTTAGGGGGGATGATACCACTATTCGACCACGTGAGAGCTCGTATTGCCTACTCTAAATATTGAAGGCGAACTGATATGGCGCTAAAGTAACCTCTTCCAGTTTGGTAAAAAGTCCTTTTTGACTATCCTCCCACCAAGCATGCCATTTCACGACGATAATACTATTAGACCACGTGGGAGCTCGTGTTGCTTAAACTGAAATTGAAGGCGAACTGACATGGCGTTAAAGTAATCTTTTCCCGTTGAATAAATAACTTTCTTTTTCTATGTGATTTCCGAGTAACCGTGCTTTTTCATCATGCCTCACTACCACTATTCAAATTCTTCCTAATTTCTTTTTCTTTCTCTCCTTCCGTTTTCTCTTATATTCTTTTTATTTTCCATTTCTGCTTCATTATCCTCCTTTTCTTTCTCTTTTTGTCATCTTCTGCCTCCTAATTCTCTTTCCTTATAATTTCCCTTCTCTTATACCTCTTCTATTATGTCTCTCTCTTTTCTTCTTCTTCTTTACTCTCCTATGTTCTTCTTTCCTGTTTTTCCTTCTTCTCTTTCTTTCTTCTTCTTCTTCTTTTGTTCTTAAACGAGCTCAATACCTGCCACTCAAGTAAACGTTGGACTGTTGAATTTGGACTTTCAAAAAACCTTAACCAACTTTCAAAATATATAAATTAGGAAACCCTTTTGGTTTCTCTTTCATTAAATATATACGTCTGAATGTATTTTATTTTAAAAATCCCCCGAGAAAGGCTTTAAAATAATTCCCGTTCATCTGAGGACCGTTTTGCATTCTTTCCCGTTGCGTAAGAAATGCTTTTCTACGTTGATTTTTCATCGGGACAGAGAATTCTGATACTTGATGACCGGTCAATTAAACAATGACCAGACGATCTTACAATTCGAACAAACACGATCGCCACGTTGTTGAGAAAAATTCGCTCTTCCTCCCATTGAGGCAATTGAAAGTGAGAGAATTTTTCACGCAACTTAGCAGCGAGCCAATTTCGATTGCCGATTTGCCGCAGGAAACTCGCATATTTTCATCGATTCTAGTGGGAGAAACGGTGTATTTTTTTTTTGATACGGCGATGCTGTATTCGATTCTGACGTCTTAACGTCCACGCTATCTCGCGTCGAGGCAATTGTCATTACTGTCGGACAAACGTAACAACCGACTGCACCTGCCAAACGTCAGGCACGCCGTTTTAATTTCAAAACGGGACAGAAAATGAGTTTTAATTTGTCGTCGCGCTGCAGTTGCGTCCCGATTGCCAGCTGCGGAGAGGAACCGTTGAGATGATTGTTGAGAGAGGATCGCACTTTAACGAATTTGTTGTTTTAATGTCAATACGTAGTACTCGTAGGTGTAACTATCTAGGTACGAGTATGTCGTCAACTCGACAGTATAGACAGATCATTAATTTCACTGAGGTGTGCGGTCCAAAAAGGACATCCGATAACCTTTCCACTCAAAATCCTCGAAACAGAATCGTTGCCAACCTTCACATTTCCTCTCCTTTGACGTAAGGGCGCATCTCGATTTCCTTATGAGCTCCAGATAGCATGCGTTAAATGGAGAAAAGGGCTCAAGCGGAAAGTCTAGAAACGCCCTTACGGCAAAGGAGCGACTATTTAAAGGGAAGCAGGCTATCGTGGCTAGCTTGGCTGGCACCCAGGGGCGGATTCAGCAATTTGGCAACACTGGATGCCCCGCATCTAAACCCATGCTAAATAATCGATTCTTGTCGGAGCACCTGGCTCCTCGAAGAATCGATACATTACCATGGGTTCAAATGAAGAAAAGACAACGTTGCCAATTTGCTGGATCCGCCAATGTAGTTTTTCAAAGAAACCACGACGGACGGCAGGGAGTCTGCAACGTCGCAAACGAAGATACTTCGCGATGGTTTCGCTACTTGGCTATCGATGTTTCTCAGGAGGTTCCCTCGGTGAGATCTCGACAACAGTGGGTCCGAGGGCCGGCTGCTGCGCTGGACCAAAGAGTTGGGGCAACTGGCCGCGCGCCGCGGCATGAAACAAAGCGAACGATTATTAAAGTGGACTGGCGTCGCATCAAATTGGAGGCGCGCGGCGCGGTGCGTCGCGGAGGCCGGGGCCGGACTGGACGGTGATGGTACCTGTAGCGTGATAGATGAAGTCATTAGCCTGCTTCAGCGAGGGCGCCACGTTGATGCACTGCTTCTCGTCGTCGCCGAACGGGCAGTCCTTCCTTCCGTCGCAGATCTGCGATTGGTTCACGCACAACCGCGAGTTGGCGCACACGTGCTGACCGCTCAAACACCAGTCTGCAACATAATCACCAATCATAGCATTAGTAAAAAAAAAATCTCGGTGTATTTACTAAGAAAAAGGTAAAATTACCAAGAATTCAGGGTTCTATTTGATCCCAGTTTTTTCTTGGTAAAATTACCATTTATGGAATTGGTAATTTTACCGAGAAATCTCGGTAAAATTATTGAACTTTCTCGGTAATGTTACTGGGCCTTGGTAAAAACGCCAATATTTTTTATCGACTGTGGTAGAATTACCGAGATAAATTGGCAAAGTTACCGGGAATTGATTACCAATAAAAATGGTATTCTTACCTGAAAAAAACAGTAAAAATACCGGTTTTTAGGTAAGCTTACCGGTCTGTCTTGGTAAAATTACCAATAATTGGTAAAAAAGTGAGATGGTAAAGGTACCAACGGACCTTGGTAAAATCATCGATGATTTTTTTTTCAGTGTAGGGTTGAGGGCTCAAATTTTTCGGGAGAGGAGGGACTAGAGTCCCTTTATACTGAGAGTAAAGACAATGAGAATCGACTCCTGATTGGTTCCCGTATTTTAGGCCTCAACAGTGTCACAAACGGGAACAAAGATTACAGTTACACCAATTGCAAAGATCATAAACTGGAATGGATCGGGAAATGGGGGTGTACGGCAAGGAACAAATGAAATGAGAGTGGGAACGGAGGCAGGAATTCGGGAATGGGTCGATCAAAGATTACAGCAAACGTTCAATTTGTGTGATCTTTATTCCCGTTTGTGATATCCACCAGCCGCGTTGTTTCAACTCTCTCTATAAAGGGACTCTAGGCGGGACCAGCGATAAAGTGAAGACCTTGCCGGAAGAAAAACAGAGGCCGATCAAATATTGATTAACGCACTTTTTCCGATTTTTACACCCCCTCCCCCTTGTAACGCACCCGTAACGTAGCCCTATGGCCCCTTTTGAATTACGTAACGCTGGGTTGCCCCTCCCTCCCCATTTTTTAAAAAGTCAAGAAAATGTTGAGATGAAAGCTTAAAACAATTCGGGGTTTTTTTGGGGATATTTCGGTGAAATACGACGAGATGAGATCAACAAAGAGAAGGGCGGGATTTTCAATTGTTTGCACGTTTTTTTCGAAATTTCTTTTCCCCCTGCCTCGGATTTGTTACATAATGCTGGGCTTGACCCCCCCCCCCCTCTGAAACGCACCGTAACGCTAGCTCAAACCCCCTCTCTCACCCTCTAAGTGCGTTACGTAATACTTGAACGCCCCCTTACCCTCACAAGATTCCTTGTTTTCAGCAGAGACATGTACGTTCAACAATTTGATTACGTTTTGAGGAACTATAAAAACGGCCTTAGTTTAGAAACAATGTATATACGATGACTCTTGAAGACTTTTTGGTCACAAATTATACTTATTCTTTAACGAGAATGATTTGTTTGTTTGATTTGACATCAGATGCAAGTAAAGAATGAAAATTCCTCCAACTTGATGGTTAGTATTAAACTCACAATTTTCTGGCCCTTGAAATAAAATGTTTGTCCGTCGTCAGAAACATCAACACGTGTGAGGATGGTCCGCGATTGAAATGGAATGCTTTTTATCTCAGGAAGCGCCGCCGCCGTCAAAAATTCTTCAATAGCTTCCGAGCAATTTTAATCCCATCACGCCTCGAATTTACGTAAAATAAATCTGTCTGGTCGTAAATTTTTCCTCTTAATCTTTTAATTACTTCGTGCCTCTTGAAACCGTTTCCACCCAAAGCCTAGTTTCCATACGCGCTTGTGCCCCCGGGAAATCTCCGCTTTGGAACTTCGCGTATCCAGTTTGAAATTCAAAATTTCTTTGGAACACGATAATCGGATGTTTTTAATTACATGTCGCAGACTGGCGGAAAATCCGGAATGGTGAGTTTTAGTTCCGGGACAACTTTCGATTCAAAAAGGTCATATAAGGATTAGTAAGGGGGAGGGGGACAAGACTGCAGAAATTTTATTTATTAAATTTTTTGAGTATTTTAGAGACATAAGATACTTTTTATGATTGGACAGTTTCAAAATATTGTAATCAGTCTTCTGATGTACAATTTTTTCTTTTCTTTTTTTTGTGCCAATAATTCCCCCTTAAACATTGCAGGAGTGGTGCATCGTTTCTCACGTTCCTGTTGAACAAATAACTTGCAAGGGAAACTTTAGCACTTTGATAATTCATTTTTCAATACGTTGAAGTTCCACTCTCAATCAGCCCTAATCTCTAAAAAGCCTACAGCAAAGATGTGCCAATCCATAAATGTGTGTACAATAAATGGAATTTTTAGTTATTGTAGGTTCTTAACTGAAGAACGACTACACCATGATACTAGATGAGATTTGTGAGACTCATCCAGAATCCCGCCTCCCTATTCCTCCCTCATTCTCCTCTTAACATCTGCTTGAAAAAACAAAGTAAGCCTTACCACAATTCGTCTCATCTGAGAAGTCCCAACAGTCAACGACACCGTCGCAAATTTTCCTGCTAAGGAGTTGCCCACGGAGGTAGTCGGCGCATGTACAGTTCTTTTCGTCTGATCCGTCGCTGCAGTCCACCAACTGATTACAATGCAAAGATTGAGCCACACATTCCCCGTTCTTGCACCGATACTCACCATCACTCTTACAACCTGCAATTTCAGCTTATTCGGTAAATCTGAATATTAAACTGTGTAAATATTTTAAATTCTGTAAACTTTGTTAAACTTTGTGGAAAATGTAAATAATAAGCAAGACGCAGCAAATTTTGAATTCCCAACTTCCCGGCAAAGTGGGAGGTATCGCCAGATTTGAAGACGTTCTAAGCGTTCGGTTGGGTCACGCAACTAAACTAACCTCTCGGCAAAGCGGGAGGTATCGCCAGATTTGAAGGCGTTCTAAGCGTTCAGTTGGGTCACGCAACTAAACTACCCTCCCGATAAAGCGGGAAAGATAGCCAGTATTTGAAGGCTCTCCCGGCGTTCATAAACTAACAGTTAACTAAGCGTTCACTAAAACTTGTCAGGTTCTAAAAGATTTTCAGGCAGAAGTAACATTTATTTCAGTCATATAAGATTAAGCAGACGACTGCGATGTGAGCCTTATAAATGCATTATATCTTTTGCACCAAGGAACTAAAAGTTCTGGCTCATCCAAAAAAAAAGCACCTATTTGCACCTATCTATCCCCTCTGCAAGAGACTAACTGTAGGACAACTGTAGGTTAGCAAGAATTGCTAACCTACAGTTGACATTATTTAGATCTAGTTTGTTACCTGTATAGTTATTAAACGGCGGCTCTTTGACTGACACAATGGTGTGTGACTTGGAACTGAGCAGAGACGGTGGGATCTTATTCAACACCTTGATTAGAAGTGGGAGGCCTCCCCGGTTGACGTTGAACGACGGGGCGACGGACTTGTTGGAAAGCTTCGAACTTTGGTTCCGGTCGGAATTCGTAGAAGCCAGCTGGCTGATGATCTGGAGCAACGCCTCACTGCTTGGTCTCTTATGCTCATTGTGGCTTAGCGGCTTCACTCGATGTGACGTCGCGTTGTGACGACTCGGCTCCTGAACCCTGGTCCGGTTCCCGTCCAATCTCCTCTTCAGCTCCCGGTTGAAGCTCACAGAGGGCGTGAAGAGCGGCTTCTCGAACTGCGACCGGGAGTCGTCCATCTCCGTCGTCGATACGTATTCCTTGTCGTCGTTCTGGTAATCGCTGGAGATGACCAAAGCTCGTGCGCGTCGCTTTTTGCCCCGCGTTTCCGGTGCCGTGTACGCCTCCGTCGCCGGGGTCGTTTCCGGTTCCTCCGTTTCCGCTCGTGACGTCACAACGGACGTCTCCGTTTGCGCCCTGTCCGTGTCGGGGTTCTCCGTCGTTTCAGCCTGCGGATCCTGCACCAGGTTGTAACTGTTCCCGCCGAAGGAGATGCGGATGCTCGTCGAAGTCACCACTTCCGTATTGAGGATGACTAGATTCGGAGAAGTCGTTGTTTCCGTTTCCGGTGTCGTCTCCTCGTCCATCCTCTCTTCCGCTTTCGGAGCTTCCGTCGTCGTCGATGTGGTTGTCGTTGACGACGACAATGGAACCGACTGCCGCTCAGTGTTGTTTACCAAAGCTTGGATGAACTGACTGGAATAAGTTTTCGTCCTGGACAAGATCTCCATGCTACTGGCGTTGCGCTTGAGTTTGTCCTCCAGGTCGGCTCTCACTTCTGGGGATTTCTGTTTCAGCTGCCACGGTCGAGGTTTCAGCGGTCGGCCGACTCCCGAGTTGGACCTGACCGGAAGTAGAGTGACGACCGGTGAGGGGGAGGGAGATTCCTCGTGCGTAGGATCTCGTTCCCCCCTCGTTGGTTGAGCGGAATGGGGAGTGCTCTCGGTGACGTAGGATCGTGAGAAAAGGTCAAGTCCTTGGAATCCACCGCTGGCATGGGGTGAGTTGCGTCCCTCGATAGGCAAGTCCGGCCATCCCTCCATCGAACCTAGATCTACGCCCGCGCCGTAGATGGCACCTTTGGTTTTTCCCCTGGAATTTTCAGGGACGCCGACGGGTTCCTTGGGTAATTCAGGTGGTGGAGCAGCGTCGTCTCTGCCCAGAACGTTCAGGGCCAGCGAGCTCTGCTTCGTGAAATGGATTCCGTTGCGCGTGGCGGTATCTTGCGGCTCCTCCGGTAATGATGGGACAACGATGACCTCAGCCTCACCGACGACCCCTTGCTCGTCCGTCTCGATGACGGGCGCAGTCCATGTGTAATATCGAGACTCATTTTGTGTCAAGATCGGCCGCCAGGGTGCGTTGTCGACCAGTTCCAGTCCCGGCACTCTTGTAGTCGTCTGCACGTCGTTCTTCGACAGCCGCAGAAGATCATTCAGAGCTTGGCTGTGTTGGATATTGTATCCGCCGGCGATTGTGTGCGTTGGGGGTGTTGTAGGATGCGTTGGGGATGTTTTAGGGTGCGTCGTGGTGGTTGTTGTGCGTGCTGTGCTTGTTTGAGACGAGGGCATGGACTCGACTTTCCCCTTGACCGGGAGTTTCGTGGTTCGGCCGCTGGAGTGCGGATGTTCCGAGGATGTGGGTCGACGTTTGTCGTCCGGGGGCAGGATTGTCATCTTGACTTTGTCACCGGTTCCCTCCTCCGTTTTTAGGACGGTGAACGAACCGGTGATGGTTTTGGATGGTGGGGTTTTTTTAGGGGCGCCCAAGGGCTTGGCTTTCTCGGTGGTCAGGGATTTTTCGTTCGAGAAGTCAGGAGGGGGTTTCCGATTGACGACGCTCTTCAGGTCGGGCCCAGATTTTAGATTATGGTTCATCGCTACTTCTTCCTCCTCGTCGAATAGTTTTGAAGGCTCTATGTATCCTGAAAGTAAAAAGGAAGATTAGAGTTCTTACTTTTAAACTATCAAAGATTACATTAGTAATCAGAATGGCAAGGCTACCTAACTTACGAGAATTAAGATGGCATCGACTGTCTAACTAATAATTGTAACTCTCATTAGATGTTCAAAAGTTACACATTTTAGAGTGGGTAAAGGCAGCCTTATTTAATGAGTTCTGTCCCTATCCACATCTATATAGTCCGATTAAAGTTTTACGAGAGAAATTTAGAAATTCTTTTCTCTTTCCTCTCATTTACATTATTAGTAATCGTTTAGAATACATGGTACCTTTTGTATAAATAAATAATCACTTACTTTTTACATAAATTTGCTTAAGATCTACTCTTAAATTTTTCATTGCTATTGGCCTTAAATTTGTCAGTTCATCCATTAAAATTTTTTTCAAATTATCCTCGATGGTTGAAACGGATCTGCAAAAAATAAATCAAAACAATATTTTAAGAATAATGAAAATAACTGATTAAAATTTAGAGATAATATTATATATTAAAGAGGGAGTTTTATAGCCCCGGTAAAAGTGAATCAGGCTGACTCACTTTTACTGGGGGCTTTGATCATAATTTTTAAAGGAGAATCTGTCTCTGTAGGGGATGCATATTACCATAATAGAATTTAAAATTAAAACTGAACTATATTTCCATATCGTAGGCACGGCAAGATAAACAATTGGAAGTAAACTTACTTTGGTAGTTTCCTTCTATCCAGGACTATTCTGAAAAATACAATTAAACTTCCATTTTTAAATCCAATAATGCTCAGTTGTTTCAAAGCGGGTCCTAGATTACTCCTTCCGTAAACAGTCTCGAGCTGAAAACATATAAGTTTATTCAAGCATTATCTCTTAGTTACAGAGCATTTGCAGATTATATAGATAAAATATTGAGCTTAACAAACGTGTATCTAAATTTGAAACACATTTAAACTTTCCGATTACGCCTACCTTTTCTTGAGATGGACGATAGCTAATAATCATAACATAACTTTATTTTAACTTATTGTTAGGGAGAATTTCTCATGTCTCAACAAATGCATTCCTGGAGAATTTCATGATGTTCGATTGTCGCTTTTCGGAAAAACTCACTATACCATACCATTTTTAGAATCTGAGGAAGAAAACCGTAGGAAATTACATTGGACAATTGGGTTTATTCCACAAACATGTGATGTTCCATATTTTCTAAGCTTTTGCAAAAATAAAAAAAAGAAAAAAAATTATCGACGTATTTTCCCATCAAACCATTATTTAAAATAAGTGAGCTCTTAATTTGAAAAATACCCTTGATTTAAATCAATTTATGAACTAGATTGACTGATTTGAAAAAAGGAAAACAAAATTTTTAAAAATGGGAAAGCAGTAATTACGAATTTAAGTTGGGAGAATATCTTTATTGGTCGGAACAGGTGAATGAAACTACGTGGGTGTCAAAGTCTGTTACAATGTTGAAAGACAACGAAGAAAATGACTCGAAAACCTGAAGGAAAAGGCGTATGGAAGCAAGCACACAACACTTACCATTGTCTTGAACTTTCTAGCTTTTTCACGAAATAAAGGACTTGATTGATTGGCTAGCTGTTCATTGTATGTATCGCCATATGTTATTCTTATGCTTCCATCAAACATGAGATTCACTGAAACAATTGGAATAATTTTTAAAACATTTTCTGATCGTGAGTATTGAAAAACGTCGAACAGAAAAGACTACCATGAACAAAACCTGTCATTTTTATTGACGTGGTCAATGATCACGCACAATTACCGTTATCTGGCGTAAAAAGATCAGAACGTATTATTCAAAATATAGATTGTTGCCGTAAGTCCGATTACTTGGATTGCAAATTTCAATAAGAAATTGAAATATTTAGCTAGTCTATAAAAACACCTATTTGCGTGAGGAAATCAATTCCACTTGTTTTTTGTTTTTTTTTTTTCTAAAAAGAGCCAGAAATATTAGTTCCTGGCTGAAAAACTTGAAGTCCAATTCAAACCAACCTCTACGTGTTTAAGTGCTTTCGGCGAATACACTAGTTTCTATTGTTTTACCCTTGCATTAAAGTCTCTCAATTGGACTATACTATACCTTTTGCAATAATTAGGAACCATTATTTCTAGTCATCTATAAAAGCGCCTATCGTATGGGAGGAAAACTAATACGCAGGGAAACGAATACAAGGCACTTATTTATTGCTTCTAAAATGGACCAGAAGTAGGGGTTCCTTATTGCAAAATATAGGACGAACCGGCTTACTCTTCGGATCCTTTAATCGTGCGAAATAAAATAAAATTGAATATCTTGTGTTTGAAATGAACAGGACAAAGAGTAATGGTGTCATGACTCAATTCTTCAATTGCACTCAAAAACTTCTGGTTTCATAAAAAGTCAAAATTAATAGATTTATCTCCAAAACAGCTTCATCCCACCAAAAAACTAGGGGTGAGCCAGACGGAAAAAACTGTACGGAAAACAGCAAGGTGCCGGTTGGTGTAAAAATTGAAGAAGAGGAGGGGAGGGCAGAGAAATTGAGAAAAAACTAGAGCACCTAAGAAGAAGATATAGTGGAAGGCGGTATCAGAACAGTGGTCTAAATTAATATAATCATGCATGACCGATTCCGACCGGGTTCGGATTAGTTTCGTTTCCATTGATTAGTTGTCGCCTGCAGAAACGGAAGGGGGTGGAGAAATGGATGAGCTAGACCAGTATTGATTTAGTTGATCCACCATTCATCATAGTTGCCGATTTTAGCGCGGAAATGGCGTATTTTCAATCGGAATTGGTGGTATGAAAACGGACGAATCGGCGGCATGTGTCTATTCTATTAGATTTGCTCATTATTAATTCCTGAATCTCTTCCACTCCATTTAGCTCGATGCTTTGCGGAGACGTGGATAAGCTGAGACTCTCTTGGCTCCGTTCTGGCTGATTTTGTAGCGTTCTGACCGTGGGAAGAAAACTGGTTCATGTGATAATGATATTTATATTTCTTAAAAGTACAATGACGCTCAATTTATATTTTTGAAATATCTCTAAAAACATTAAAATGTTTATCAGGTGTTTCGTTAAAATGAGAAAAACCAAGGAAAATCGAAAACACGACTTTAAAACAATTAAGAAGATGGATTGGACCGCGTTAAGCAAACATGAACCAAGCAGCATTGCCAAATTTAATTGCTTGCATAAAATATTTGTGCACATTTTTGTGCAAATTTCGGTGAATTTTCTGCGTAGTGCGAAGCAAATTCCTTAAAATTTTCAAAGGAATCCGCAAAGTTCTCTTGTAAAAAATTAAATTCTCCAGTTGAATTTTGCAATACCTGATGTGGCTTGGTTCCTTTCTGCTAAACGCAGTCCAATTATGATGACATTTATGCGTTTTTAAAATGGTTTAAAGATATTTTTTAATCTACGTACAGTGCGGTTCGACGCACGAGTCGTTTGCACAGTGTGTTGGTGATTTTTCCAACGCGCGTTAAAGTTCAGTATGAAGCTGAAATTCTCATTACAGAGATTAAAAAAGCAGCTGCTGATTCGAACACGGCATTCTCACATGAATAAAATATGGGAACTGATGATGGGTCGAATTAGGCGCGAAACGCGTCTGAAGTTGTCCTTCTGATTGGTCGTAAGTAATGTTGTACTAAATGAGGCTGCTAGTTCCAAAGTGTACAATGTCCATTTTGGTCGAAATTGAGTTAGGAGTGGATTCTTAATCAGCCAATAGAGGAAAATCGGAAAATAATAATTTAATTGTGAGCCAAAACAGCCAAAATCCTTTTCAATTAGTAGTATTAAAAAGGTAGGTCGCAGTAAAACGCAGCAAACCCAAAACAGTTTTTTTGCGTTTTTGTGACAAACCCCTTTTATGGACATTGTACTCTTTAGAACCAGTAGCCTCTAATAGCATTTTTCTGTTGATGAAATCCGTGCACGAATGAGCTTTTTTCTCTCCGTAATGAGAATTTCAATTTTTTACTGAACCCATCATTTTAACGCAAGTTAGAATTGCCAGCACTCTATTTTTCAATTCTTTTAAAAACGAGCAATACCTTTTAAATGCATTTTTAATCTTTTTAAATAAGTAGGTTGGACAAGTAAAAAGAGCCTCAGGGAATTCCGGAATTCTTGAAATTCCAGTTTTACTATATTTGAATTTTCTTGCGATTAGGCAACATACTAACGATTGACAGATAGTGTTGGTAAGTTGGCGTGAGTGCTCTTGCCCATTAGGCGCTTTATTTGAGTTTGTAGGTCAAAAAATAGTCTTTGATTACGCTCTCCCACTCCTCGTCTTGCTCCTCGTCTTGCTCCAAGTAGATCGCCCGCTGAGCGTCTATGTGTATCATTCAACGGGCTTTTAGATCGATGAAAAATGATGTTTTTGGCGAAATAAAGTACGAGGTCTGCACCTCCAACAGTCAGGGTGGCATAAAACGTAGGAAAGAAATGAGAGACTGGAAATTTTAGTGAAATATTTCAGAAAATTTCACGAGGCTGTGAAATATTTCATATTTTTCAGGGGCTAGAGTATGCAACTCGTACTTAAACGTACAAAAATAGAGGAAAGTCACAATTTTTACATTTTGCGAAATATGAAAAGGAACCGGTGTTTTTCAAAGTCTTTCATAAATTTCTGAAATTCACGAAATGTTTCAATTGAAATTTCAAGATTTTATTTTTTATGAGATATTGCCACCCTGCCAACAATAGCAGAGGTTCGCCGATCATATTCCGGCAAGATCTTAAATTTTTCCCTTGGTTTCGCAAGGAACAAGTTTAAAACGGAAGTAGAATGACTGCTTACACCACGTCTAATCCAAAATGTACCTTTCTGAAATTTACACATTCTAAATTAAGATTCAAAAAGTACTAATGGATATTTATAAATGTATAAAATTGAAAATTTCATAAATAATCATTTAATACTACTTACATTGTCCGGTGTCGATGCGCAGTGCTGAAACAAAGATTGAATATCATGTTAAAACTTTTAGTTCAAAACATTCTAAACCTGTTGAACTGATTTACATTTTACAAAAAAATGTATATATGGTTGCCAAGTTTTTGTTGATTTCTAGTTATATTGTGGATTATACATATTATGACTATTCATTTTTACTCGGAAAATTCCTGCCCGGCAAAAATGAAAATCGGTTTGACTCGGACTGTTTTCAATGCCCTGTTTTGGTCAGTGTTTCCCCCAATTCCCATCAGCAGGATAGTCTGAGTCAAATATTTGTATATTAAAATAACAACGACCAATTTGGAAATTTTGCAAATCAAGTTCAAAAATTTTTAAGAGGAAGATATGGTTGGTGAAAGTAACTGAAACCTTTTAAGTAGCTGCACCAGCCATGACAACGATCAACAATCGAAGAGGGAGTTTACGACGAGTGCAGCTACTAACTCTATACGTTGTCAAAAGTCAATATGAAGCAGAATCGATCCACACGAGATATTAACATGTATTTTCAACACAGATAAAATAATTGTTAGATTATGCAAATGACGTCATTTGTATTTTTACCATTTGACTAAAGTTAGTTGTCAACACTTACATCCTGCTTAGGATTGTTGAAAGCTAGCCTTCCTGTCGTGTAGATAGCTATATACGTAAGATTTTACAGAAAAAAATTGTTGCGTAGTGCTTCTGACATTTTGACAAAGTGACAATTTCTGAGTTGCAAATGCACAGGAACCTCAGTGGAAAATCCGCAACGACGGAGCGAACGCAGTGGTAAGTCTTGCAAGTTGACAACACGGTTTTTTCCAGTTTAATGTATGTTGAACAATCGATTCAATCGATATTTCCAATGGTTTTAAAGGAAGGAAAAACAGTGTTGCCAGCTTCTAAGACTCGCCACTGTGCGGAAATGCGGTAAAACAACTTGTTATACGAGAGCGATTCACTTTGCAGGACTCAGGTGAGGCTGATCAGTGACCTGAGTCTAGCCCGGTGACCCATTTCGTCGGGATTGACCGGCGGCGGCGGCGCGGAGCACCCTCGTCCGTCGTCCCCGATCGGCATTTACATACTCCCGTCCTCAGAAACAACGCCGTATGAGCCTTCTAACGTTGCCAAAGTCCCCCTCTTAAAAACGAATTCTTAGGGAAATTTGTGAAAATTTCTCTTCCAATTTTTCAGAGGATTCTTCGCGATTTGATAAAAAGTATTTGAAAATTTGAAGAAAAGATACTCATCAATTTCCTCCAATATCAATATTTTATACCGAGAAATCTGGCAACGTTCGAATGATCATACGGTGTTTTTTCATAGCTTGGTAGCATACTTAACACGACCTCCGCCTCATCCTCATCCCGCAGCCGCAGCAGGTCCAGGATGTGCTATGGTTGTGATCGACTTTGACTCACAATCAGCGCCACCAATGACTTTAACCTGATTAGGGCCAGTTCAATGAGAAGCCCTTTTGAAGCCACACAGTGGCGGACTTGAAGGAAGTGGAAAAGAGGAGAATGCAGCCGGAGAGAGAGGAAGGAGGGAAGAGGAAGAAAGGGAGTTAGAGGGAGGAAAAAGGGGAAAAAAGAAAAACTCCAAAAAGGTAGGAGAAAATGGGAAAAAGGGAGCAAAAATGAAATTGAGTGGATGAAAGAAGGAAAAGATAGAACGATGAGAAAAAAAGAATGTAAGGAAAAAAGCAAATTTATCGGGCGTAACCAAAGAAAAAAGTATTAATATCTAGGAAGAAAAAAGCGCTCAATAGGAGAAAAACAAATAAAATGGGTGAAGAAGTAGGGGAAAGGAGACAAAAGAAGAAAGTAGGAAAGAAGGGAAAACGGGGGAAATGGGACAAAGCGGAGAGAAGGGTTTGCATAGGGATCATGGACCAAAGGTAGAAGAAAAGGGAGCAAAAGGGACCGGAAAGGAGAGGAAGGGACAAGAAAGGAGAAAAAGGGAATTCAAGAAAAATATGGGAATGGAAAGGAAATGAAAGTGAAAAATGCAGGGGGATGGAAGGGAAGGGGAGACAGAGAAAGAAGAAAAGATAGAGGGAAAGAAAGGAATGAAAAGGGAAAATTTGACAAATGCAACTAGAATGAGTCTAACTGAATTTTTACGCAGCCTAATTTCTTCCCATGTTTTATTCTTTTACAGGAAAACCAAGTAACGTAACGCCTTGAAACTTTCAGCGGATTCCCCTTGGATTTTGAAATAGACTAACCAAAGTTCACGGCAGAACGTTGCTGAGTATTTTTTGTAAAAAAATCAAATGTGAGGAAAGAAGGTAACGTATGATGTACACCAAAAGGATAAATTTTGGAGGATGTTAATTTGACAAAACACGCTTGAAGCTTAAATAATATTCGAAGTTTTAGTCAAGATGCCGTCCTAGGTGCCGTTAGTTTTAGTCCGTCCTGACAGCACCTTTCGAGTTGCATGGGTCGTGCGCGACTGCAACATTTCGCCAAAATTTTATCATAGAACAATGCTTAAAAGACATCTAAAACACATGCTGAAATAACACAATTTTATTAGTGTATGTCCCACTTCAAGGAACACACTTGATTCTCACAAGGGATGCAAAAAGGAAACTTCTTAGCCTGCTCAAAAATCTGAAAAACGCGCGAAAAAGGTTTCGGGGGGGGGGGGGGGTGAAATTCTAATTGAATTCTAAATTGAAATTGTAGTTATGATCTAATAAATGGGTGATATGCTGAGTGATATGCTTACCTCCCATGTAGACTGCAAGACCGGCGATGGCAATGATCATGACAATGATGATGGAAACAGTGAATGCGAGAAGGGCGTTGCAGAGTCTGTCGCTTTTGGCCATGGTCCCTTGCTCGTGCCACAGGGTCCATGAGGACTCGCTGCTCCCCGAGCGGGGATATTCCACGTGCCGTCGCCCTCCGCCCTTATCTCGCTTCTGCAACAAAATTCAAACAAATAATCAATTTCCTTCACAGAGAACATTTGTCTTCTGATAACTATATTATTAAAGTACAGTTTTATCGTCTCGCTTCCGGAGGATCTCAACGATGATAGATTCCTGTGGCGGGTAGGCGTCGCAGAGCACCCTAGTGCGCCGTAAAAGCAACTTATACATACACACAGTTTTATCGGACACACTAATGAGTCAGTGATAAGGAATTTTGGCAGGGTTGTAGTATAATTAGACTACACTTTGCAATAATTAACCACTATCTCTGGCTCAATTTAGAAATAACATATGTGCCACTGGTTTCCCTAGGCAGGGAGGCGCTTTTATTGAAGAGCCCGAGAGTGGTTTCTTATTGCAAAATGTTATCCAATTTTTTGTACGTATAATTTCTTAAAAAAACTAAAAGGTTCATTGAAAAGTTCAAAAAAGAAATATCGCTTTCGATACTAATACAAACTGCTCTTGAATGCGATATTTCCCTCCTGAGACTTTATTACGTTGAATTTGTTTTAAAAGTTGGTAAGTAAATTCTTAAGTCTTGCGACAAGAGAAATGCGATCTCAAAATTTGATAAAAAAGACAAGTAGCTGAAATTTGGAGCTCATCGATGCGATGTATCATACATCGTTTTGACACAAAATATGGTTCGAGTACCTAAATATGGCGTCCGTATCTTAAGGTTGAAAGTTCTTCGCCCCATAGCTAACAGTGATGCACCAAGATTGATGATAAACATATAAATTAAAGATACTGAGAACCAGACAAATGGATCATTTCTCACCCTTCACCTGGCAACTGTGTATCATGTCGCGACGTCGAAGTTGAGACCGCAGCCAAAGAAGAAGCGTTTAACCTTCAGGTGCAACGAACTCAACCTCTCCCCTCACTCATCCGCCACTCGCTCATGAGCTTTTGCAAACTACGTTGCTTGTAAAGTTCGGTAGAGTCAGCACGAATATGAACTCGGCTCTGATTGGAATGAAATTGAATACAGATGTGATCGAGCCATTTGCCCGAGTATAGACTGTTTCGAGTGTAGTTACTGCTGTGCATGGGTAGGGATGGATAAAATCCCTTTAAGAGCATTGTGAAAAGGCTCGTTTTTATTTGAATTCAAATCAGCACAATCGAAGCCGTTTATGGCAATTATATCAGATTGGATCCAAATAACCACAAAACCGCCTTCGCACATAGAGTGCCTGTACAGCGTGAGAATGGATGGATCGCTTCATGGCGGGCTGAGGGCCCAAAGGGCAGCCAACCCTCTTACACAAAAATTGTCATTGGCAATCTTTACAATATTGAATCAAGATGGCCAAGAATGTTCATGCATGAGCGTTCTTCCGCAAAAATGAGTGCATTTATGCAAAACTAAGTCAAACGTGTGCTTTCCAAACGATAGATCGTAACAATTATAATTATGAACTGTTCTGTATAATTTGAATTCGTCTAAAATTGGCTGCCCTTTTGGACCCCAACTTTATTTGAGGAGGCATCAGTGAAGGCCTGATGGATTTTTGAAGTTTCACACCTGTCCATACTCTCGCTATGCAGGTACTCTATCTGCACTTTGAGAAAAAAAGTTTAGTTACATGAGCCGTAAGTATACGGCGTTTGGTGTATCTGCCGTTCTATTCGGTTTACGTAACTGTACCCGTGCCTTGAGCTACGTGCCAATGAGAAAGGAGGGTGGGCACAAACACACAAATATGAGATAGAAAACAACTATACTATGATGGAAATGGTGGTATATCGACGGTCAATGGTGACCAGTGGTAGTGATGGTACGGTCGGCCGAGGTCCATCTTCCACTAGAGCATTTGCATGCGTCTCGACTTCGATGAATTTTGTGTTTAAGTGGAAACTGCTGAGCGAACTGAACATGAAGATACCCTTGGTTCATAAATTGAACCAATTATTGGAGAAGAAATGACAAAATGACCATTTCCCCTATCAGAAAAAAAATAAAAAAAATACTGTGAAATCAGCTCTTTTAGCACTCTCAGATGAAGCAATAAAAAATTTCCATGCAAATTCTCCATTGGTACAATTTTCGACTAAAGTTTCTTAGTGTTTTTTACTTAGCTAAAAAGGCTTGTGATCTTGTAGTGGTGGAGCTGTGGATGAAATTCGGGTAAAGCTGTATAAGGTTTTAGAGTGGTTAGGCAAGAACTATTGTTTGGAGACTTAAACGCACGTTTAGGAAAAATGGCCGTCTGGATTTGTACACATTATACTCACGAAAGATGTTCTTGCACAAGCACTCAATTATTAACATTGTTTTATGTGTATGTAAATTGTATTCCTGACTATCTTACTTGGGCTAAACAGAACATCGATGGGATTCATACATTTGCCCTCAATTATATTTTGCCTCTGATCGGTATCGAACGACTCGGTAGAGGTGTTACCTCTGTTCCACTGAATCATACGAACTAGACAGTTAAAACCTACTAGCGCGTTGAGAAACAGATGTGTTTCGAAAACTTTTAATTTTAATCTGTAGAATTCAATTTTCTAGGAGATGATTTAAAAGAAGGGAGTTTTTAGTTTTAGTAACCTTTATCTAAATGTTAAACAAATGTTTTCACGTTCAGTTTTTAAAATAAGGAGAAATTTTTTTAAAACATGTTTTTGAAAAATCTATTTCGAAAGTGTAGAAAAATCAATGATTTTCACTAAAATTTTCAAAATATTTTATAAAAAGTTTTGGAAATGATTTTAAAATGATGAAAAAATGACTTTTTAAAACATATGAGCTGAAAACGCACGTATACCATTATGACTTATCTTCTTTAACATTTCAAAGCCGCTTTTGAAATACTTTAGTTTATCTCTGTTTTATAGAACATTTTATCGTTCTGGAGATATTTTTAAGCAACATTGTGCTATCAGAGAATGTATATAAATTGTATTTATAATGTTCATCGTCCGAATGGGCACGTCACTCGGAAGGCGTGAAAGAAGACTGCGGTTTTCGCGCCAGTGGCAGCGCCCTCAAGCGGGGCAGAACTCGAATTATTGCACTCATTATGATTTTGATTGATTTCGATGCAACATCACCGTGGTCAGCGCGCCGCACCCGCGCCTGCGCCCGGAAAACCTCGCAAAATCATAAAAATAAAATAATCGTTGCGTGGAATTTTGCGGCACTGTTGCCGCTCAAAAGCACGGCTGGTGGCAAAAAAGAAGAGGTGTATGAAAAACCTCTAGGTTTTAAAGAAGGATTTTGGTCTCTTTGCACAAAATTGCGTTGTTCCTCAACGTCTTACCTTAGCAGTGGTATTAGCGTAAAATCATTAGCCGCACATTTAACGCGATTTAAAAGAATAGGGTGAATATTTATAGGAATAATAACTTATGTATTCCCCTGCCATCAGGTTTCAAAAGCGCAGGGATTCATAACAGAGGCAGCAACCAATGATGAGATGGAAGTACATCTTCAAGACTCTTTATACTGATTCAGAGGTAGAAAACATTAGGAAAGCTCGTTCAACTTTTCGGGGATCGCACTTTGTGTCAAAAAAAAGAATACATTTAAGATCGTAACCGAAACAAATTTGGCTTACATGCAGTGCCACATTGGTTCTTAATTTGCTACTTATTCATAGCTTGTCTACACTAAATGAGAGCTTCAGGCAGTACAAATTTGTATGCAGCTAACATCTGAAGTTTCAAACTAAATTAGACAAACTCTTATTCTTCTGTGATCGGCAAGATATCGACGATGAACCTGAAAGAATGTACATATTTGCGGGGTTTTAAAATTTACTTTGACATTTTATACTTATTCTTTCTGAAGAAAACGAATAAACAACATGGCTCTACAGAAGATACAAAAAAAGAGGTTTTGACCCTTCTCCTCCATCGCCAATATTCTATTTAATGCTAATTTTTCAAACTGAAATTATAAGTTGATTTGTCCTCTCTCTGCTTTGGATCAGAGCTCATCGCGTTGACCTCGTTTTAAGGGTTGTATTTTTTGGAAGTTCTGTCCTTGATTTGTGCCGCAGAGGAGCTAATTCTAATCAGACACCCCGAAAACAATACCATTTTACGGAAAAACAGAAAAACTAGGCCACATTAGTTTGTAGTGTAAGTGAATTTTCATCCTGAAAAACTAAAAGCGATATAGATAAATAAAAGCCCGCCCTCACTACGCATTCAAATCCTAGCAAAGTAAATAATCAGGAGATCAGGCTGCGCAGAAGCTGCGGCTCGGGGTGTTTGACCGCGGTTTTTACGGCGCAATTATCTAAGAGACTATTAACGTCTTCGAGATAAATTGCCCTGATATCAAGTCAGTCAATTAGAGTTTAGTTTCTGTTGCTCGGTACTGTGCTTTGTTTTGTTTTATGCCTTTCTTCTCACCTCTTTTTCAGGTTTCGCAGCGACTGATTTTCGATTCTCTTCATCGCTGTCCTTTTCTTTTCAATCTATGCATAATGGGACTGTTGCAAACTTCAGCTAGAGCAAAATGAGGAGTTATATTCCTCAAAGAAAATGGCTCAAAAATCACGATGAGCACATCAGCCAAGTCTGACATGCACTCCTAACTTCACAATCTGCGTGATAAATATACGTTTTTCTTACGTTTTTCCTACGTTTCCCGCTTCAAAAACGATACCATGGCACAGGTAAACATTTCGTGAGAGGAGTCGTTCCATATCAAACCCTTGCGCACCATGATGCTACACAATATTCAACATGGCCGGAATTTTTGAGATTCCTTGATCTTAATGTGTTCAATTTCCAGCCACCGAAAGTCCCGCGTGCTATGCAGACTTTCCCAAACCGATCGTTTATCAAACTCTTCAGAAATTAAATTGATTTTTACGCACCACGCATGCGCACAAAACGAAAAACAACAATAAGATGAAAAATAAACTGGTGAATTGAACTGCAATGACTCGGCAATTTGCCGATCATTCTATCGTCCGCACTTCGCCGCTTCGAACAGTCGAACGGACCTTAAGAGGGGTTGG